CCTGCAGACCGGACCGACACTCGACGGACAGTCGCTGGTCCTGCAGATCGGACCAACACATGAGAGACGGGTGCTGGTCCTGCAGATCGGACCGACACCAGACATACAGGCGCTAGTCCTGCAGACCGGGCCAACACCCGACAGACAGGTGGTGGTCCTGCAGACTGGACCAACACCCGACAGACAGGTGGTGGTCCTGCAGACTGGACCAACACATGAGAGACAGGTGCTGGTCCTGCAGACCGGACCGACACTCGACGGACAGGCGCTAGTCCTACAGACCGGGCCAACATCTGACAGACAGGTGGTGGTCCTGCAGACCGGGCCGACACCCGACAGGTGGTGGTCCTGCAGACCGGACCAACACATGAGAGACGGGTGCTGGTCCTGCAGATCATCAGGGTCTGTTACAGCGCGTTCAGGTCTAAAACTACATCTACTTCTGACCTGGTCTCACTCTAAGCTCTGACCAGGTCTAATTCTGGTACGGAGTACCAAATCTTTTGAAACTCTAACCTCCTTTTCTCCTCCAGGAGCTAACTGACCTGTCCAGAGATCCTCCGGCCCAGTGTTCTGCCGGGCCCGTGGGTGAAGACAGTAAGACCATTTTATCTTTTGAAACTTAAATCCAGACCCGACCCGACGCGTCTTTAACTCTCCCCTTTCATCTTTTCTTCCAGTGTTTCACTGGCAAGCTACAATTATGGGTCCGGTAAGTATCAAACTGCAGCAGAACGTCTGTATTTATGATCAGAATCAGGTCCAGCCAGACGGGTCAAACCGGGTCACCGGCAGAGTGAGAAGTGACACCTCGTGATTTCTGCCATGTGGAGAAAAAAAAAAAATTGCACATTAAAATGAAATATATAATTAACTATCAAATTGGTTTCTCTTCAAGAGGAACAGATAAGATGTATAATATAATAAGTTTGATTTTCAATTGTAATATTTATAAAACGGAGTAAATGTTAACTTTGTGAAGAATTTATTTTACAAAATAACTTTCTTTCCTCCCACGTCTGAACGCATCTAGAGCAACTTTTACTTACAGGAATTGTTTCAAGCAGATTTTTAAATAATCTAATGTTCGGTTGAAATTTCATCTGGAGAAATTAATTCATGAAATTCCAAAGTAACAGAACTTCTCTTGGTTCTGAACGGTGTGGCACGTTTTCAGAACAAGCGTCGAGTTTAACTGTGGTCTCGGTTCTGTTGCAGCCTGACAGTCCGTATCAGGGCGGCGTGTTTTTCCTCACTATACATTTCCCGACAGATTATCCCTTCAAACCGCCCAAGGTGAGTCCAAACGTCGGCCTTTAGTCCTAAAATCAGAGTCCGGCAGAGAAAACTGAAGCGGTTCTGGTGTTTGTCCTGCAGGTCGCCTTCACAACCAGAATCTATCACCCAAATATTAACAGTAACGGCAGCATCTGCCTGGATATTCTGAGATCTCAGTGGTCCCCGGCGTTAACCATCTCTAAAGGTAAGAATCATTGAATACAAATAAAACCAGTGGTTCTGTTTACAGACTTTATCTGATTTTTATTCTTCACCTCATATTTCTTTTCATTAAATGCAAAACAAATCGGTCCCAGTTCTGCACGAGACTTTTGGTCCTTTTAGTGATATTAGTCTGGTTCTGTCCCCGGACGTCGGTGAAAACCTGCAGATTAAAAACTGATTTTATTTCTCTGTTCCAGTTAAATCTGTTCTGTTCTCTCCGCAGTCCTTTTGTCCATTTGTTCTCTGTTATGTGACCCGAACCCAGACGACCCGTTAGTGCCAGAGATCGCCCGCATCTATAAAACAGACCCCGTCAGGTGAGTCAACGGGTCGGCGTCGCTGCAACCCGTCAGATGAACTCAGAACCGAACACTGACCCACGTCAGCACCGAACTCTAAAATCTTAAATGATCTTAGAAATGCTTTGAAGAACCGGGGCTAACAGAACCTTCACTTCTTCAAACCTGCTGCCTTCTTCCTGGATTTCTGTCAGGAGCTTCTGGTTCTGAGCTCGGATCTATAGAGTGGGAAGTGGACTTTGGGTTCTGGCTCTGTTCCGTGTCAGGCTATCGTCGTTAAACTGGTTGAAAGAGGACAAAGAACCACAATCAGATGTTTGCATCTAAAAGCAGAAACCAGTTCAATAAAGTTATTTAAAAACTGTTAGAGGAACCAGGATCTTCAGTCCAGGTAACCAGTCATGGACTCAAAGACTCAGCCAGTTAGAGACTCTAAAACCTAAAGATAATCTAGAATCTTAGAAAACCTAAAACTGTCAGAACCAACGGCTGGGTCAGAGTTCAGTTAGAGACCTGGGGTCCAGTCAGAGGTTCTGAGTTCTGTTAGACACCCAGTGGTTTGTTCAGAGACCGGCGGCTCTGTTAGAGACCCAGAGACTCACAGTTCAGTCAGTCTTGAAGTTAGGTCAGAGATCCAGGGTCCGATCTGACTCCTAGCTGGAAACCTGTTGATGTATTCACGTCTCTGTGAATGTGTGGTTCTGGTTCTGGTCCTGCAGCTCCTCACGCTGTGGTCTTGTCTGCAGGTACAACAAGACGGCTCAGGACTGGACTCAGAAGTACGCCATGTGATGCGCCACCTGCTGAAACGACCCTTTTAAATTAAGCCACGCCCCCTCTCATCTCACCTGCAGTCCGTTCACATTCATCTTCACCTTTGATGATTTTAAACTGCGTTTGTCTGCTGGTAACCCGAGCAAGTGCGGCGCCACGGACTCACCTGGCAGGTGACCCGGCAGGCGGGGGTGTGCTCATCGGTGCATGTCAGTGATTGGTTCATGTTTTTTTTTTTTTTAAGTTTCTTCAGTTCGTAGCTTTTTGTTTAGTTCTCAGACCAGAGCCGACAGTTCATCCATCACCCGACCCGACCTCCTGTTTTTGCACTGGAAACCCGAACCGACCCCCCCCCCCCCCCCCCCCGCGCGGCTGATCGATCAACTTCGAGCTCTGTCACCGTTTTCTGAATAAAGTTCAACAAATCGCAGCTTCGCCCTGTTTTCATTCCCCTGCTTCAGTCAGCCTGGACCCAGAGGAGCTCAAATGACCCGTGGAGATAACGGGTCGTTTGAGCTTTAACTCGTTAAGAGTTCATTTCAGGTGAGCAGCATCTTGTCAGGAGGCCTCCACCTGCCAGGTGAGTCCTGAACAGCTTTACGGACGTCTGAAAAATAAAACGTTCTGTGCAGTTTCTCCCAGACTTCAGATGCAAATCAACTAAAAATACAGATGGGAGATTCTGAAACTATGACGCCGTAAAAACTGGACCTTTTTCCAACCATGACCTCACCGTCTGAACGTGCACAAAAGACACAGTTTTGTCTGCAAGAGTGGCTATTTAACCTTTGTGTAAACGAACAGAACCACGCCGCCTGTTCGTGGTTCTACACAGACCAAACAGCATAACTAGACCCAAACACACCAGGTATCATTTATCTTATGAAAAATGTTTTGCAGCCAAACGACTTCAAGTTTAGTCAAATGTTATTAGTGTCATTATCTACGGTTAACGCCATTTTGTTTCTTAACGTTGTGGATCAATCGGGACAAAACCACAGAACCTAAGTTGTGCCTATAAACAAGTTAAGCTTTGCATGTTTTTATTATTCTGTATTTAAGTATTTAAGCGGTATTATTAGCTCGTCAGTAAAAACTGGTGTTTCTTGAACTAAATGTGAACGCTGCCTCGGAACAGACCTGGATTCTAACCGGTTTGAAAGAACGAGTGATTTCATAAAACCGTCGTGATGCGACGAGGTCAGAGGTCAAAGGGGCCATAATTCAGTTTGGTTTGTTTATAGAACACCAAATCACAACAAGTCGTCTCAGGGCACTGCACAGAAACATTCACATATAAAATCAATTTGAAAAATGTTTTATCGTATAAGGAGCCAACAGACCGAGTTTTCACGTCGTCAGTCTTCCATCCTAAGCAATCGGACCCTAGGTCCCGTTTTAACAAGATGTTTAACGCTTCAAAGACTCAAGTTAAAAATGTTTATCAATGTCTATTTATATAGCACGTAAAAACAAGCTGGCCAAAGTGCTTTACAATTTAGTCAAATTTAAAATGAAAACACTAAGAACAAAACGACAAATGCATTTTTTATTTTAATTTAGATTCAGGGAGTTTAGATTTAACCAGACTTTAATGTCATTTAGACGGGTCAGGAGTGGTTCCAGTGTCGTGGCCCTGTTTAACTTAATGGGCAAATACAACTGAATATCATCAGCAAAGCAATAAAAATATGCTTTTTTTTAAAAATGGATCCCAAAGGCAACAAGTAGAGATTAAAAAGCAGCAGGTTAAAAATGTTCAAAAAGTTTTTTTTTTTTTTTTTTTTGCCATCCCATCAGAAATGTTCACATTCAATAAATTGATTTACACTTTTTGCAGTTATTAATGAACATACCAGAGTTGGTAAATGTGTATATATATATATATATATATATATATATCAGACTAAGCATATGTGTGTGTTAATATGCAATATTCAGAGATGTTCATTTTACAATTTCACACACCAATGGGGAAAAAATAAATAAAAATGAACGCCTTGCAGATGATGGAACAAAAACTTAATATGTGCAATGAAATAAAAGTCGACCACAATGTTAACTGTTATGTACGTAAATGTAAGTTAATGTGTGTGTACGACTCACCTGAGTTCGCAGCGTTTCCGGTGGGGATTAACCCGGATCAGGTACTCAACTTGTCTGTTGGCAGCAACTCTGGTGGCATTTTTTTGTTTTATTAAGTGCGTTTGTCAACTCGCAGAAATCTATTGCAGTCTGCCAACAGAAATAGGTCCTGATTCAGTGAGAGGATTTGGATCTTTAATCCAGGTGAGTCAGTAACCGACCCACTCCAGAACATAATCGGTGTCAGTATTTTGTGATTTGTGGTCGTTTGATATAATGTCTACTTCTGGTTCTTTAAAATCCACAGGCTAAACAGTGTTATTATCTACCTCCAACATTGTGCATCACGTTCGCAACGTAAAAAGCCAATGAATCATGTAAACGTCAATAAAAGCAGGTTAAGGGACCAAAACACCGGAGCTGGAATAAATAGCTAAGAACCTTTTTAAGCATGAGGAGCACAATTTTATGCATGAGCTTTGGTAACTGTAAAAAGGTCAAAACTTAGCAGGAAAAAAGCTAATTTTAGTGTGAATTTTTAAAAAGTACACAGTTTTTAACATGTTCTCATCTCACTCATCTGTTCTAACATTGACTGAAAAAGTTATCTTTTAAAACTTTCTAAATATTTCACAGGTTATTAGTGCATCTGGACCTGCATAAAATACAACATGAAAAAAAATTCTGCATTTTTATTTTACAATTGAAATTATACAATTTTATATTTATTTTTTTTATTGCTTTTAGTTTTTACGAGGCTGACCATTGTTTTAATAACTTTTTACAAAATTGATTAAGATCAAAGTGTTATTTAAAGAATCTTCTTTAGTATGAATTAGTCCATGTTTGACTACATCATTGTTAAATTTTGAATTAAAAGATGATCAAATATTCAAACGCTAAATAAAATCAGCGGAATATCCCTTTACCAAACTGTCAAACCGGAAGTTACCTTCAGAGTAAAAGTCATACAGCTGTTAGTAAAGATAAACTTTTACTCACCAATGTTAATTTGAAAACAAAATTCATCCTTATGTGCATGTTTTAAGTATTTAGCTGTTCGATAATCTCCTATTTTAAAATATTTCCTTGTCTTTTTAAACGGCTAAATGTTTCATTTGCTAACGAACAGCTAGCTAATCCTTGGTTTGAACATGTTCCTATGTTTGGCGTTTTTTTTTAATATACTTCACTAAAATATATTTTTTATTGAACGGTTGTCTATGTAAAATGGAACCGACAATCGTTTTGCGATATTAAATAAACCTGTAGCCGTTTTTAGTCAAGCTAAAAGCGCCAATCAGTAGACTCGAAGTTCAAATTAGCCACCTGTCGCAAGCCCCAAAGACCACGCCCACTGACTTCAGCTCCATATCTGATTGGTTGATCAACTCGCGCTCTTATTTGGAGAACTTGATTCTGCCCAGATACCAGCCTAAACAAATCACTGATTGGTTTCTTCTCCTTTCACCAAGTTAAATGGCATAAACGGACAGAAAACATGAAATGTATGCACTTATTGTGACTATTATGTTAAAGGTAAACAAATTAATTAGTGTGTTTTTTTTATTTTTATATATGCTGCTTAAAATGCATGATTTCTTGAAGGTGGATGTGCACATTGGCCTTTAGATCAACACCCTGAAGCAGTGGTTTCCAAAGTTAAAGTCAGGAGCAACACAGTACTGAGTAGTAGTGCTGTATACTACAGGTACTAATGGAAAAGGGGCTGGGTCATGAAACACCAAGTCAAAATTCCCAGATAATCTCTAGAAATTAACTGTATTTTTTATTTTTTTTAATGAATATTTTCAACTAATATTATTGCAAAAAATAAATGCAATAATCACAAACAGGATTATTAAAAATAATATGACTACAGATGAGAAAAACAATGAAAATAGATATAAAAAAAACCTTTATTAAACAAAAACAGTCAACAGTACAAGCATTTAAAGGTCATGATGAACTGTACAGGGTCGGCGAGAACATAAATATAACAGCTTTGGTTTCAACTCAGGACTACATTACCCACAGTGCCTTGCTGGTTCCCTTTCTCTTTGCTGAAACGCTCCAACCTCCTTATTTTTAACACATGGACAGAAAAAAAATGAAGGTACCTCAAGTTTAGTTCACGAGAACAAATAAACATTTAAAAGCACTGATGTGTAAAAAATAAAATGATATAAAATTAACGTGCACAGTGAAGAGTCCGTGCTTCAGATCTGTCTGAATGTAAAAGCTACATGCACGTCCACGTGAGAGGTCAGTGTGTACACCTACAGCCAAAAACCTGGAACGCTGCCGAACCAGTGAAACCTGAGCCATGTAAAGTTCTGGGGTTTAGAACCTTTTGGCTTGTTGACGTCTTTGGTAACTTTGTTTACACCGACCGGCGTTTAGCTGATTTCATTCCAAGTTCAGGATTATTTCATCTTCTTCTGTTGAGATTTGTTTTACAAATCCAGAGATTAAACAGATGAACGAACGTTTCTGACTCTAGACGTTCAGCCAGAGGTTGTTGGTCGTTACTGCTGCTGAAGGCTTCATCAGGAACATCGAACTACGAGGCCTCCCCTCCAGGTTAGCCCCGCCCCTTTTAGGGGAATCCAGCGGTGAAAACTGCTGGCGTCGAGGTGTTCCGTTAAAAAGTTTCTGTGCTGCGTTTTCTCCAGTGGAAATCTAAAATAAAATGCCAGTTTTCTTTCCGTTTGCTTCTCTGAATTAAAAAGATTTGTGGTTTCAGTCCAGCCACAGTGGAGATCGTCGTTTGTCCGATCTGATCAACTGTGATCCATATTTGTGAAAGTTTTTTCTCCATAACACTGCTGACACAGTGACGTTAGATGATTGCTTGCCTGATAATTCTATAACTGCACTCTTATTTAAAGCAGTAGTAAACGTATGAGGAGTTTCATTCCCTGCCGGTCAAAGCGGAGATGCTTCCCCTGAAGGAGGCAGGAGCTCGTTGGGCACCCGGATATGTCGCTAAACTCCATGTTGAACTAAAAGTCGGGAGTTTTTAAAAAGTACGCTCTCTTTGAGCCCGATTAGATCGTTTTGGTAACAGATGCTGAACTCGTTTCCTGTTTCAGTGCGGATGAGTTCAGTTTCATCCGTTCACCGATTCTGTTCTTGAGAGAAACATCAAACTGTAACATTTATATCTCAAAGTTCTGATTGAGTGCCAGAACATTTTAAAACAAACGTCAGATTACGGAAAATTTAAACTGAACGTTCGTACAGTTAACCCTCAGAAGGTCCTTTAATTTTGAGACCAAGTGCGCCTTAAAGGGAAAAATCGACCGCCCTAATAACCGCTTAAAAATACTATTTTTTATTTCTTTGTCCACAATGAACCAGTCCTTCTAGAGCTGTCAGCCTGAAATAAAAGCTTCAAATTTAAATAACTTTAGCTACTTAAAGGCCTTTAGTTTAGCAAAACTTTTTTTTTTTTGACAAAATATTTATTTTATAACTTTTGGAGAAAAAAATATATTAGTATGGTTAAAATACTTTTTTTTTTTCCCCAAATCTGTTTTGGGAAGACTATCCAGCTCACCTGACCCTCCAGAACCAGTAGCCAAAAAACAAGAATTATTTTTTTAGACTAACTTAGATGAGTGGTTGGACTGGAGGGTTAAAAAAAAAAAAAGAAAACAAAAAAGAAGTTTGTTCTTAAACTCTGCTCGAACACAAATTTGCATTTTGTTTTTTACTCTTAGTGAACCAGACTACCAGCAGGTTCCAGCTCCCTGTAGGTGATTTTTAATGTCCATCCATTCATTATCTTTACCCTAAAATGTAAAAACATAGCATTTTTTTATATTTTATTTAACTTTTATTAATAATAAATAAAACTGACATGGGTAGTGAAGAATCGGTGTAGGTAGAGAGTCTCATTAAGTCACGAGGACTCGGTCTTAACCTGTTTTGGGAGCAGATGGTGGAGATTAAGCGCCTTGCTCAAGGGCCCAGAGTGAGGCAAATGAGGGTGGAGGCAGGTGTTTCAACATTTCCACCCAAATTTTGATGTCGGTTCAGGGAGTCAAACCGGCAACCTTCCGATCACAGGCCCACCTTCTCTAACCTCTGCGTCATCGCTCATCCAGTGGGCTAATGCAAACATCAAAGTCAAATAAAAACATTACTGAGAGGGACGCATCATGTTGTGACATAATTATGGGATTAAAAATGCACTTATAATGGATTTCAATATGGTTTATTCCTCTACCGAACACTAGAGGTCGGTAACGTTACCGTGAGGTGACGCGAGCGCTTAAAACAATTCTGATAAAAATCTAATTTAGCTGGACTGTTGGGTTTTGTCAGGAACGATTGTGTTTATTGACAGCACCCACAACAATAAACACAAACAGCCACAAACATCTGGCCGATTTTTCCCATGAGACCTTCTGAGGGTTTTTCACAGCTCTGAACGATTCTAAGAACTGGACTTGTCTGATCGGTTTACAGCTGGTCTGAAATGGACCACGAGTCTTTTCCCAGGTCTGAGTCGAGGAGAACTGAAGAAGAGGCCCGAACGTTTCTCAGACCAACAGACACCGACCCCACACCAACGGGTCTCGGACGTGAGCTCCGTGTTCAGACGGAACCCGGTTCCTCTTTGCGACCCGTTCGTTTTCAGTAGCACCGTTTCCATCAGGAAATCCTCAGACCCTCATCTTCATCGCTGATCCTCAGGATTCAAAACTAGAGAAATAGTTTGTGTTCAACGGTAGCGTCGTGGTAAGAGAACACTTCCTGTTGGTCAGACCGGAGGACAGGGAGCTGCGTTCTCTTCGGTCAGTTTAAAAAAAACAACAACAAAAAAGGCTGAAGTTCAAAAAAATCTGAGTTCTGAAAGGTCCTGATGATGATCTGGAGTCATGATGAAAGGAGAACAACCAATCAGAGGCTACGCCGTGGAAAGCTCCACCCCACTGTCGCAAGCGTAGCTGTCGATCTGTACGTCCACCTTCAGGTCCTGATCCGGAGCGCCCCGAGACCCGTCTGCAGACACAAACACAGCTGAGTGACTCGTCGCTGCGGCAACAGCTGCTACAGCCGTGTGACGGCGTGCAGTCCGCTCACCGCTCGACTCCGGGTGGTCGCACAGCGCCTCCTCCAGGACGCGCACCGCTTTGCAGCCGCCCACGGACCTGAGAGCAGCCAGCAGGTCCGAGACGGTTCCACCAGAGACCTGCAGAACCAACAAGATACTGATCTCAGGCCTGGTTCTGTTCCATCATGAGACAGCTCTATGACCTCCAACATGTATAAGAGATTAGGGCTGTCCCGTGACCCGAGTGACCTTGTTACCTCGTAGCTGTCCAGCAGTGTTTTGGTGGGGGAGGGGCTCAGTCTGAAGGCCGTGTTGAGGATGCCGAGGCCGAGGCTGTGAGCCAGACTCTCCCAGCATCCTTCACTCTCCAGAGCGCCACACAATTTCTGCTTCACCTCTACACCCAGGCTCACCAGGTCACCTGCACACACGCACACACACACACACACACACACATATCGGTGTCGTGCAGCTACAGATGGATCTGGGATCTGTCGGGGGCGGAGCTTACCTTGAGGTGGGGCATGGGTCTGATGAGGGGGTTTTGGTTCGTACTCATTACCGTTGAGGAGGTCCAACACCTGCAAATACAGAATCGTAAAACCACCTGATGTGATCCATGACTCTCATCAGAACCGGAACCGGACTCATAATCCGCACCTCAGAGCTGGTGGCCATGTTGAGAGGAGTTGTTCCAGGGATGTAGCCTTCATCGTCTTCATCACACTCCTCCTCCTCCCTGAAGAACAGAGGCTCAAAGTTCTCCCGCTGAGGGTCAGCGCCTGAAACACGGTCAACGTTCGGGTCAGAACCAGATCCTCAAACCCTTTAGAACCAACATCAGGACACCACGAGTCTGGGGAAATCCTACCTGCAGCCATCAGGAGAGCCGTCAGCTTGACGGAGCCCCGCCCCGCGGCGATGTGAAGGGGGGTGGAGCCATTAAAGGTGCAGCAGTCCACCTTGGCATTTCCCTGACAACAGAACCACAAATCAAATTTAATTCATCACAAACTGTCATCTGAGCTCTGGTGGGTCGGCTCGTACCTCCAGCAGTAGGCAGCCGGCCAGCGACACGTTGTCGGTCTCCGTGGCGAGGTGGAGGGCGGTCCGCCCACAGCTGCGCTCCTGAACCTCCACATCAGCCCCGCCCTCCAGCAGCTCCCTGAGGGAAGACAGTCGATTGGCCAGAACCGCCAGGTGTATGGCACACATACCTGGAACAATGGAACAGAGGCCATGAGGCAGTGTTTGTATTGTGTGTATACTGTGTACTCTGTATACCTGCAGTGTTGCAGCTCTGCAGCAGTCATCTTGGCTTTGTGTGTGTACTTTGTATACTGTGTATTCTCCGTCCTCTGCATGCAGTGTATACTGAGTACTGTGTGTACCTGCAGTGTTGCAGCTCTGAAGAAGTCCTCTCATCTCTCGGTGTTGCAGTATCAGAGACACCATCCCACCTTCCTGCAGCGCCGCCAGATGCAGCACCGTGTTGCCGTGACGATCGGTCAGAGTCGGGTCTGCGCCGGCTAACAGCAGGGCCTCCACTGCTTCCTTCTGCTGAGTGATCGCCGCCAGGTGCAAAGGAGTCTGGGAAATATAGTAAATGTTTCAGGTTTGTCACCGTATTCAACAGTTTTGGAAGAAATTATTTTTAATGAATATATTTTAAATAAACAGCTAAAATAATCAAAGTGTGATGATGATTGAAGAAGCTGAAGCAGAACTTAAGACAAAGCTTAAGACAAAATCACTAAACAGTAGCTACAGTAATTCAAAAATGACCAAAACAGCAGGTAAAAGATCAAATTAAGAAAGTAGTAGCTAAAAGCTAAACTAGCAAAATTTTAGCTAAAAACTAAGAAGTGCAAATACATAGCTAAAAGTTAAAATTAGCAAAAGAAGACAAATCAGCACCATCAGCTGAAGCAGAGTTGAAAGAGAAGCAAGTTTATAAAGGATTGAAGAGATCTCTATTTCTATGGTTAAAAGTTGTTTAAATAAAGCAAAATAATTCAAAAAGTATAAAAGTTACAAGAAACAAAGTCAAGAAAACAAATCTCTTGAATGAGACCAATGACTTGATAAAAACAACAGTCTGCAAAAGTATTTTGATTGCAAAAAAAGCATACTGAAAAAAATAATGCTGACTCAGCTTTTTCACTTCTGACTTATCCTTTACACTCGTGACTCAGCCTTTACACTCGTGACTCAGCCTTTAC